TTTGTTTTCTGATAAGCACGCATAATGAGGCACAATTGGTTTTAAAACGTGACAGAAAGAGTTACTTTCTTACAAAATGTGTGACAAGTCCGCTGATTGCTGCGGTTGTTAATAGGTGGCAATGGTATTTGACATTAATAAATCGCGTGCTCGTTTGTCCATTATTAAAAAAATGTGTAGTCATTTTTCAATATATTTACCGTTCACCTTATGATGGTTCAGAAAACACTACATACGATGGCACTTGTGAAAATATTAACGGTGTTACGAACCGTATATTGATTCATGAGTGACACTGTGAATAAGTTTCGTTGTTACGCACTTCACCGTCTAGAAGAAGCTCAGTGAAAGTTAATTGTTGAAGATGACTTTACTAATTGATTGATTTATGTTACTTATTGTCCCATTTCAACTTAATAATTTTGGAAGTGTATAGTTGGGTTAATTGCCTACATTTTTATAAATAAATAATGTTTGAAATGAAATGAATGTTTACTATATCGATTTATTTAAACAAAATTTCAGTTGATTAAATTTTTTAGAAGTTTATTTGCTTCTTACATCGATTATGATGATAAAACTAGCGTTTGGATATAAATACAGCAGATATGTATCGTGTAAAATGAAGGTGAAATTTAATGACGAACATGCGTCACGAGGTAAAATGATCTCGGCGATGGCTTTCGTTTGTTTAAAAGACTTTAATTTTCATATAATTACATGTATAAAATAACTTATGTTAAATGTTAAACAACATACCTGGCGAATTAGACCTATTTTCATGCCCTTTGAAACAGATAACAATAGCTCGTGTTCTCTAATAAACAATTCATAATCAACATCATTTAATCACTTAATTGTTGTTAAATCAGTGGTCAACATGCATACATGCATAATCATCAACGAATTATACACTATAGCCAGTGGTCCCTGCGTTGAATATTGACTCCCCTCATAGTACAATATAGCGATATACCTTAAAAGGGTTTTACAGATAGTCAGTACTTTTTTATCCAATTTCAAATAAAAATACTAACGTTATTTATTCTTAGAGATAACCCTTGAATTGCCAATTGTTAGCGCGTGAATTGATTTTTATGAATTGAAATCTTGTTTATTGAATAGATGTGTTCGGAAATAGGTTTTAGTATCTTTTGTCGTAAGACATTTTGATTGACGCAACAATAGGCACTTGACCTTACTTTATTTTCTCTTTTACTCCGAAAACTATTACAATGAAATAATGGATAAACATTCACCTTATAGACTAACGCTCAGAATCAGATCCTCTATAAGTTATGTTTTTGTCATCAATCACCGACGATGCTGTGCATTTCTGTATTATTTTAGCTTTAAATTTGTTTGGTTTTACGTATAATTTATTCGTATATTCAATGTCAATGCCAAGTCAAGGTTACGGAGGGAAATTGTAGCGTAAGTGAGCAGTGTTATGTTCGCCAGACGATCACTGCGCTAGATAAGGTGCTTTCGAATAGGCCATTACATCAACGTACTTGTACATTGCCGCGATAATAGTAATAGCTTCTTCGATCAACAAAGCCAGATGTGCGTTCATGTAAACATGTTTTCTATATTAAATTAATAAGTGTTACGACTGAATTATTTTGACACCTTAATTATGCTGAAATTATTATAACTAGTCTTGTACTCATAAATGTGAAAAATGGTTTGAAAATTTTAATTATGTTAAATTTCCTTTCTTGTTTTTGTCGGTTGGCATAATTTATTAGCGCTATGAATAAAAATCTATTTTAGGAATAACGTTTGGGCCATTTTATTTTGTAAACAAATTAATTGAAACGAGAAATTGCTAGATTACTAACAATGGCAAAAACATGGTATAATTTATCCCAAGGTTAGTGTAAAGGCCAATCTGTAAGTACTCGGTTGTTGGAAGATATTATTTAAAACCAATAACTGAATGGATAATATAATCATTGTACAATTGTAACTGTTAAAAATCTTAAATAAGGTTTAGATTTTTGTCCCAATTTTTTATTTTTAAGTACAGTAATGACCCAGAAATGACCCAGAATGGCTATGTTTCGACTTATAACCTAAAATCAACATTGATCTAGCAGATTTTGATCAATATTTTTTTCGATATTTAATGAGATGTATAATCTTCCTCTTTCATAGATGTTTATGATGATTTAATAAATTTTGAATAGCATAAATAGTAAAGTTTAGATTTCTTGCTAACAAGAATTAGGGGCGTCCATAAATTATGTGAGGTGTTTTATTTTTATTTTCTCCACTCCCTCCCCCAACCCCCAATCTCACGTGGGATTTTTCAAAATTTGGGTTTCTTACGTAAACGCGTTGGATTGTTATTGTAAAAAGAAAAAAAAAAACATATTTGCTTCGTTCTTTTATTTACGACTAGTTAAGACTAGTAATCAATATTGGTGAGAGTTTGTTATTTGTAAACATTTGAAGGTATACATTCATCGGAACATTGGGAATTAAATAACTTGGGGATCGATATCTTTAGTATGCAGGTTTTTTTAAATATGTTTAGTCATGTGTCAGTACACCATCTCCATATTACTAATGAACATAACAATAGCAGCGAATCGAAACGATACTTTCTACACAGCGCCTGCAGCCGACTCTTATATGTATTAGAGATTACTTTTACACTTAGTGGAAACTTTCTCGATACCTTACTGTCATTAATCATTGTTTACTATTAGGTTTTATTTGTATATCGTATGTAATTAGTCACAGAGTACTGAACGAACATAATTATCACTTTAGTATAGAAAATTTCATGTCTAGGTGCAGTACATTTTCATCACAGACTGTGTTCTTTAATACTCGTATTATACTACGTATTATTATAGAATCAGTATTATTGAATTAAATTAAAATAGAAAAATTGAAATATAACTTTTATACCTACTTAACAAAATAAACAAAGTCAAAATTAAATCACATGAAAAAACAAAGACAAAGAATCACATCTGAACAAAGTTTTGATCCGTTAAAATAATATGAATATAAGATGAATACTCTAAATTCAATATACCTATTTTATAAAAATAAAAGACATATGTTACAATCTTTTATTCGAATAAATTTAATGAAAAAAAATATAGATAATTGCAAAGTATATGTGCTACTTAGATCCATTTTCCACAAAAATACGAGTAGTAACGGCATAATTTTTTACTGAATGAAAAATAATCAGATAAAATAAAAAATGTTCATTTTTATACTTAAATAAAATTTCCGACTTCGCTGAATTGGCTGTTCGTTTAAGCGTTGATTTACTTTTGGCTCCTAACTGCAAATGAAAGTTTTGCAAATGGATTTGTTTCACCTGAAACAGTAACAATAATGTACATTTCTTATACCTAAACTGTAGACTTACCAAGCTAACAAAGCCGGTTTACGGAAAGTGAAAACACTCGCATCCGTGACAATAAACAACAGAGAGTTTTGCACGTTTTATTGTCATAGCACACGTTAAAGTTTATCGGCTAACATTACTAGGGCTAAAACGGATTATTCAAGAACATGCATTAGTTAAATTATTTTTCTAATTGTGTACAAAACATTTTGACCGGCTCTTACTGCTTACAAGCTTTATCTATGCGAAATTTTCCTAAGTGTTAATTTTTTTATTGAAAATGTTTTAAAAATCTACGTGTTATCCGCAAACGGTAAAAAAATGTTCAGTATCACGCTAAAAACTAAAATTTTATCTACAACACAGTAGAGCTTACGATAGAAATTTTTGCGGCACATTTCTTCCACAAGAAATATAAACTTTATTATGCAAAAGTCAATATTATCTATTACTAGCTGTTCGTGACTTGTATCGCCCCAGTGAATTTCAAGGAAGGTCGTAGAAAATAATATCTCACATCTGTATTATACTACCGAATGTATTTTTATTTAAAGAGAATCAAACTAGCAATAACAAAAAAATATAAGCCTGAATGACTAACTCTGATATTCAGGAAAGAACTCCCATCGAAAGAAACCTTCCTTACCAATATTGAACCAAAACTACAAAGCATATTAGAACAGATATATAACACACATTGCCGCGAAAATATTATCTTGTGTCAGTCGGGAGAAAACAAAAGACCATCTACAGAACAAATAAAACCATTAAGCATTTCATAACTAATATTTGCCTGTAAAACATCGCACATCCTAGAGAACAGCGGAGCTAAGTTTGTAACAGAAATTGAAGTTTCATACAATAACAAGCATCTAACTAATAAATTTGTTTAAATTTTAAAAAACTAAATCTAATGTACCGCTGTCATTTGATTTCTAGTGGCATTTTTTTCATATTTCATATGGAAATATTCTTTGAATCTACTTGCGATGAAGATTAAAACTACTGAACAACGAAAATAACTGTTTTGTTCTATTTTAATTCAAGTAAAGAAGACTATAAATAGGATTTCTGTGAATACTAATTGAACTTCACGGTGCGCGACTTTTCGCATACATAACATTTTTGTCTACAGAAATCTATGTGCAAAGTTTCAAGTATTTAGGTCCAGTACTGTGGATGTTTCCCGAGGGGCCGATCAGCCTACTGATCATAAAAACCAGTGGGAACTTTTTTCCTAATACTTCCATTGATTGTATAGATTCAATCAACGGGAAACTCTTCTCTGTAAATGAATAGTTGAGTCAGTCAGCCAGCTTACTCTTTATTTCAATCGTTCGCGAATACGTTGCGTGAAATTAAAAAAATGCCCTATACTTTTGTAATGGTGAATAAATTTTTAAATTCGGCCCATTAGTTTTTGAGTTATTTCAATACTTACAAAAATACATTATGTTTTAGAATAAAACTATTTTTTAAGGCCCTCAAAATTATGTTACAAGAAAGTAAACAATACTTTTTTACGTTTAGAAAATAAAACATAAAACTGTCAAAAACAACGACATCGAATTTGACATATTTGTATTTGAGTGATATTTGAACATTTCGTGTTTTGTCTTTACAGTTGAAGATATTCAACTTATGAAAAATGCCACCATATCAAGGTGATAACATGGCGCAAATGAAGAGAATGGCTAACGACGACGTGCAATACACCAAAAGAAGAGATTACGAGTAAGTGGTTACTCTCATTATACGTTTACGTAAACATTACAATAAATACAATAAAAAAAATGAAGAATTATTAGAAAAGATAGCGTAAAGGCACAAAAGACATGATAATATATATTAGAATACCGGGGAAAAGTTCAGATGTTTGTCAAAGTACAATATTTAATGAGTAATTAATATAATCCTTGTCCAGATCCGATTAGAGTTCCTTAGCTCCTCATTCATAGAATTTCTCGACAAAAAATGTAAATACAGCTTGATGAAAATAATCTAATCAATTTTTTTCTTGTTGAAAAACCTTTGCTTACTCACAAATCTTGTAATTAGTGCCTCCGTACTCTTATTTGCTTTCCAAAATATCTTGTACATCTCATTTAATATTCAATACTTTAGGGACCCAAGAAATTTTGTGATACGTGCTATAGCGAAATAACATAGTTAATTATTACAAAACGCTTACGAAAAAGTTTAAATAAACACTAGCTTGTCGACGACGAGTACGAAAATGTTACTAATCGCGCGTCTGTACTAAGTACTTGTTTATTTTCAGATGGCAAATAGTATGGAGAAACGTCTTGGCTTTCATCTATTTGCACGTCGCCTCATTGTACGGCATTTACCTCATACTGACCTTGAAATCGAAGATATTGACGTTATTATTCGGTGAGTGAGTTTGCTACTACCATCTAATGCAACATTCGTCAGTCGTCAGGCGTTATATTTGCATTTATTGGGCAAAATATGGAATCAGTGACATTATCGCAGTGCAAAATAATTATCACCTATTGACAAACAGCTGCAAATAATTTGAACGTAGATATAGTCTCGATAGATACGAATCGAATCGCAGATGGCACGCGATAAACTTTTTTCTATTTCAATTTTTTGTGCTAAAGCGAATATGAAAATGGATTCATCGATTCGTATTGTAGCTTTCAATTTGTTTCAATATTCAATTCAAAGCAGTACATTCGTAGTTTTTTACGTTATAGAAACTGAATGTAAAAATGTGTCGACGCCGACTAAATTTTTGAAGCTAGCAATAACGGTTTGTTTGATGTTAAGGACAAGAAGCACTCAGTGTGTTACATACCACATAAGCTACTTGAATTACACTAGTAATAACTTAAATGAATCTTAAAAGTGAACTGCCCTTGAAGATGAACTAGTCAAGAAAGAATTCCTTCACATTTAAACATGGAAAACAATACATGTCAAGTAGATATCGAAATTAGCTAGACCCTCTGACGTTTTATCGTTTAATTTTCCAGCTTTATTCTTCGGGGTGCTCTCAGCTATGGGGGTGACGGCGGGCGCACACCGGCTGTGGGCACACAACGCGTACAAGGCGCGATGGCCGTTGAGACTTTTCTTAGCTGTGATGCAGACTATGGCCTTTCAGAACCACATATATGAGTGGGTGCGGGATCACAGGTACTAAACTAGTTTATAAATTTCAATAAGATTGATTTAATGAATACCGTACTATATTCTTAAAAGTTATTTTATTATCAGGGCGTCTATAATGGAAACCCATTACACTTGCAAAGTATAGAAATATCCCTCTAATTGACCTTGAAAAAACCGAGTTAAATTTGTTTTGTATACGTGTTCCTGTATCGGAAATTAAAAAAATGATGCTCTAAATTTCTTTTATTGTAAAATGAAAAAATCTTATTTTATACGGTCGTTGAAAACTGTTAATTTACACCAGATGTCATGAATCATCTGCGATTTTTATAACCATGCGGGTTGAAGATAATAACGTTAACGACATATTAATTAAAAATTGATGAGTTTTACTTTACAGTGGCGTTTTCCCGATTATAAATATTTAGGACGAGGAAAAGACGATATTTACGATGTTAGCTGTAAAGTAACGTACCTAGTCGTTTTGTTTAGAAAACAAGGTCAAAGTAGATTATTTTTATATACAAAAATCTTTATAAAAAGGAATAAGAGGAATGAAAATAACTAAGCATTAGTTAAGATTTTTTCTGAAAAAACCTATGGTTAATTGTTTGTTGTTTTACACAGGGTCCATCACAAGTTTACTGAGACGGACGCCGATCCTCACAATGCGCGTCGCGGTTTCTTCTTCTCGCACATCGGCTGGCTGATGGTGCGCAAACACAAGGACGTCTTCGAGAAGGGCGCCACTGTCGACATGTCTGATCTAGAAAAAGATCCGATTGTCATGTTTCAAAAGAAGTTAGTATTCCTTGAAAGTTTTATAATTTTAACATCTGTCATAATTGGAAGATTATAGTTATGCTACCGACGAATTCCGATCAAGGAGACTAAGGAAGGGTTGACCAGAATACGTAGAACCAATGTAACCTCTGTCCAAAGATAAAAAAGCATATCAGACCCGTACCAAATCTTCCGTGCACTTCAACAAACGTTATTTAGCATAAATCTTAAATTTCAAAGATGACAAATTTATGTTAACTACTAGATTTCGCCCGTGATTCCGGTCGCGTGGAAGTAAAAAAACAAAAGTTACTCACTTACACGCCTGTGTGTTCTTCCAGATTATCCTCTATATCTATACCAAATTTCATCGAAATCCGTTCAGCTGTTTAGGCTACAAACTCTAACAAACATCCATTCATCTTAACTTTCGCATTTAGGTATTAGTATAATTTACTAAATGGAAATAATCAAAATGTTTCAGAACATATCTGGTTGTGATGCCGCTGTTGTGCTTCATACTGCCGGCGTGGGTGCCGGTAGCGCTATGGGGTGAGAACCCCTGGCACTCGTGGTATGTCGCCTCAATGTTCCGGTACACACTGTCGCTGCACTTCACCTGGCTCGTAAACTCCGCCGCTCACATCTGGGGCAACCGCCCGTATGACAAGTAAGTCGCCATTTTTATTCTGATTGACAGTTAACCATTTAACTGTCGGTGAAAGTAAATGTCAGTGAAATGGAACGTAATTTATAAGTAATTGTTTATTTTTTAATTATACCATATAATACCGAAAAGGTCGGAGTATATCCGCACTGTCGCAACATCAGTGTTCTTATAAATATAAACCTACAAATGTATTGTCCGTTTGTAATGATATGGTAATGCTTATTTTGATGTTAATAATAATAAATAATAAATTCATTTATTTAACTTTAAATTGTTGTTCACAATTTTTACTACATTTTTCGTCCTATTATTTCTGCCTGATAACAGTTATTGCACATTTAAAGTTTTTAGAAGTAAAACATTTTGAAATATGAGTATTTGTGTAAACGACGATTGAGATGTTATTATCATAAGTAAAACAAGAGCTAATATGTTTGGTAAAGATAGTTAAAGGCGTATGAAACGTGCCTGAATATATCAGCAGAAATCTTGTTTGTTGTCAAGAGGCGTTTCAATGGAAGTACCGTTGCACATAGTAGTGACTGTGACGTCGTAAAATGCATTCCTCTATAGATCACTTACTATGAAGTAATAAATGGTTGATAAATATTTTTCATGAAACATAAATTTAACATAAAAACCTCACAAATTTACAAAAGTATGTGGAGTTACAGTTATGATTTATATTGATATTTTGAAATGATATTAAGATAATAACGTTGAGAAACGCCTACTGTATTAAAAGTGTTAACATGTGTAAAATATTTGCTATTTCAGATACATAGGCGCTACGGACAATAAAACAGTTGCTATTTGCGCCTTCGGGGAAGGTTGGCACAACTACCACCACGTGTTCCCATGGGACTACAAAGCGGCGGAATTGGGTCAATACAGTACAAATTTTTCCACAGCTCTGATCGATTGGGCGGCAAAATACGGTAAAACATTATAGTTATAAAGTTTTAAATATTACTATAAATGCGATACGTAAGAATACACTGGCATTCAACGCGTCGTATGTTTAACATCTTGTAATTAAGTAAGTTGACCTTAGTTGGGTAAATGATTAATAGGCGAATCAGATGCCTACCTACCATTTAACAATTGCATAAATAATGCCCGTTTGTAACATGCCGAAGGATATCGTGCGCCTTACAGCAAATAATAGCAAATTCCTGATTGAAAATATATAGATGAAAACACTCATATTTCGTCTCAAGGCAATAAGTAATGTGTCTATACTAATAAACAGGTCCAGGACTCGTGCCTAATAGTCTGGTTAATTAAACTGAGGAATCATTCTTAGTTGTAACTAATAATTATATCATTTTATTTTATGTAATTTTAGGATTGGCTTACGATTTGAAGACCGTTTCCGCTGATATGATCAGGAAAAGAGTAACAAGAACTGGTGACGGATCACATCCATACAGCAAAGAGACAAAGAAGATTGAAGACGATCATCATCATCCAGAGAATCCGGTGTGGGGCTGGGAGGACACGGACATGCCAGAGGAAGACAGAAAACTCGCAGAAATTACGAACAAAATTACGGAATAATTGCAATTACGCTAATAGCCAATGCTTAATTTTAACGGTGTACATTTGTACTCATTAGAGCGCGCGCACACTTCTTACTAAAATATCGCATAACTGTTTAGTCGCTCTCTGATTGCTATGAGCTTATATGTAGGTGCGCACTTTACTTGATTTTTAGTTGTGAATTGGCTGCGAAACTATCGACAATCGCACAACAGTTGTGCGATAGTTTACTCAAAGGTGTGCGCGCTTTTAATGTTAACTTTTAATTTATGAAACGTAAATCATTTTTAAGGAAAACTACTTAAGAACCAAAATTTAATTTATCTTTTAACTATATAAGTGCAGTGAATTTATAAGGGATTTAATGAAGAGTAATGAAAATTTAAATCGATATGCTCTAGTGACAAAGCCAAAAGTATTGATGGTAAACGAGGAACTAAATAACTTTGACATCGATCGTTTTGGATTTTTTCAGTTATCTGTGCAAAACAAGTATATTGAAGTTTTAGTGATGCGGTTATTTATGACTCTCTCAAGGGTAGCAGATTGTAAGGAAACTTTGAAAGTTGTTTGTAACCGATTGTATTGGTGCTGATAAACAAGTATAAGTTCACAACTTCGAGCTTGTGATAGTTATAGGCGGTATTGCCTCATATGGTGACTGTTAGCTTAAGTATAAATTGACAACAAATTATTTCTAAGTCGATTGATGTAATATTTTATTTATTAAATATTGAGGATGATGCTCATGTTTTTTTCGTGATTCCTTAATTAGGCTTTGATTAGAATTGACAGTTAACAATTATTAATAACAATTACATAACCTTTATAGGATCCTAATATGCTCAGTATTTTGCCATTATTTTATTAGTAATCTTCTAGAAGGAAAGTATCTAAAACGTTTTTTACTTATATTAAAATAAGTATTAGCTTGACCGGGGATTTAAATACCCTCGCCAAATTGCGGAAAATTATGGAACTAATTCCTTTGGGCACATTTGAAAGTTATGTAATAAAAGGCGATTGAAGCAGACCCAGGCTCTATTTGGTATTCTTGGTTAGGCAATATAAATAAGTCTTACACTAAACAAAATACATTATGCTACAGTCTCATTGGCGACGTTTTGACCGTTACGTCTGATTTTGGTATCCGTATAGTAAACGTGACTGGTTATATCTCCGTTATCAATCCAAGGCAAGTTTGCATGTATCGGACCATCTTTCAATCCAGTGTCGTCAGTTAGTAAAATATTTTCTCCGCCAGGTGGCGTTAAATCACCTATAATATCACCAGTTGCTGGATAATGATGTATATCAGATGGTATTGGGTAATGTTTCTCGTTGTGGTATCCCTCGTTGACGTAAATAATTCTATGTTGATTTGCTTCGTTGAAGGCGTTATTTCTTAATAATGTGAATACAGCGCCGGATAATGCCATGTTGTTCAGTATACCGACGGCTATGACCATCATTTTTAACGCTGGCAAGACAAATGGCAAGATTGCGGACATGATCAGTCCAGGAACTAACAATAAAGGTATAATGCTTAAGAACTTTTTTTTCATCTTCTTCAAGTGACCTCGGCCGGTGTCGCCATCGCCTGAAATTAAGAAATAATACACAATTAGTAATTTTAACTTTGAACGCTTTATAAACCAGTTTTCGGCCACGACTGTGTCCGCGTGAAATTAAAAACAAAAGCAAGTAGCCTATGTTCTTCCAAACTATCTTCTATATCCACGCCAAATATAATCAAGATCCGTTGAACAAATCTAATAAATACCCAGTATGAAGTAAGATTAGCAAAAATTGTAATCCTTGTTCGATAGTAACAATGAATGAAGTTGATGTCTTTTTAAAACTTATTAAAATTCAATAAAGAATTTAAATTTAAAAAGAAGAAGAAGAAGCTTAAATTTCTGCCACAACTAAATTATTCATGGTATAACATGATTAGAGATTATGTATTTATTTATATCATATTTCGCCTTTCACTAGAACAGACAGTGGGCGTGGTATAATTTATTAACTTTCTCAAACGTAGGTTACAGTTTAATGATACGTTAAACAACTTTTCATTGACGGAATTTTTCGTTATGTAAATATTAGAAACTTTATTCATAAGCCATAATCGTTTTATAATAATCGTAACATATATTGATAAGATAAAAAATACAATTTTTATAATTGAAAATAATCTCAGAAACTAGTTAATTTGTTTAATGTTTTCTTTGCATTTGACAGTTTAAATACAGAAAAACTAAACGTGCTTTTGGCCCTCAGTAACAGAGCTGAAAAAAACATTAGATTTAAATCTGTGAAGCCGGTTACACACCGTCAGTATGAACTGTACAGTTTTAATCGAACAGTCGGTATAGTTTAAACCTATACGTGTATGCAAATATGAGAACTGTAAATAACAAATAATACACTAATTTAGCTACACGTTGCTTACGCCGGTTTGTTTGAACAATCCGACTGTTCAGTCAAAACTGAAGATATGTAGCCGGCTTTACAAAATCTTAATATCTCTACTTTGATAATTCAAATTAAAGGGACGCTAAAATGTTTTTATACAAAGATTTTCAATAGTGGAAACCCGACAATGTACCTGAATATGGTATTAAGTCTTGACTGCAACAGTATTAGTCTTGTAGCACTAAAAGGCTTATGTCATGAATATCTGAATTTATGGTTGTATTATGTTAATCCTGTTTTTAATTCTGAAACTTAGTTCCGCGTGTGTATTTCAATACATGAAATGTAAAGTTTTAACGTTAATTAAAACTTTTCCATTGGAATTCCTTTGATTAATGACATCCCAACGAGCGATTGAATCATTTAATGTTCAAATAAAAAAATGTACTAAATTGGTGAGTATGTTGTTGATATAAATTCTTGAACTTGACTTTCAACATATCATGTTGAGAATATTAATGATAAGTAAGATTAAGTAAAATACTACTGAGATAACTTTGAAACAAATATCGATTGATGGTAGAGAGAATTTAATTATATTGATCAGAATAAAGATGAATGAAAGTAAACGTATCAAAACAGCATGAGAATATCGTGTACAGATCGAGCCAGTTAGTAATCCGTCTACAAGTTTGACCACAGATAAAAAAACGCATGATATATTTAAAAAATAAAAATAAAACGATTACTTTTAATAACATCGACGTTCAGCGTCCCGTTGCCTTTACTTCCCAGTCGCAGAGTGTAGTCCCCGCTTACATCGAGAGCAAGTTGTCTATATCTCAGCAAACTTTCTGTTCCATCGCATAGATCGCTGTACACCTGTTCTTCTGATTGATTGGCGTATTTTTCCCAAGGAAATTGGACTAGGTCATCGTTTACTTCGAACGTTCTTTGATGGTTTGCGATTAAATCGACAGCTCTTCGCGCTCGCCACGCACTGAACGCCGTCAAACATTTCATAGGTCCCATTGACTGGCTGCATGCTAACAGTTTTGATAGTCTGTCATCTGTAAAAGAACTCGATTGTTGAATCGCGTTTGTAACACAAAAAAAGAGCGCGAATACGACGGTTACGGCTCGCGCGCACATCGCTGCGGCCAAACTGAGCACTGCCTTACCCACACCACCGTGTTAGAAAATAGAAGGGAAGTAATTCTTGATACAGTTTCTTGATCTTATCATGAACGAAAGCGAAATAAAGCGTTCTTAAAACACGCACCTGATGACTTATTCGCCTGTCATTAATGCTTGACAGCTTGTAGGCTTTAATTTCTTCAATTAATTTTTGTATATTACCGGGTAATGCGATTGCCTTTCTATAGATTATAATTTTATAGTTTAGCTAACTGATATAATTTTTTATGATAAAATATGCGACAAATAATAGCAATTATATTACTTTGAAATAAACACTCACAATATACTTTATGTTCAAAAATTATTTATTTCAATACTAGCTTTCACCCGCGACTCTATCCGCGTGGAATTTCATCGAATCCGTTCAGCAGTTTAAGCTAAAAACCCTAACAAACATCCATCCATCTAAACTTTCGCATTTATAATATTAGTATAAAGTATTAAAAATAATAAAAATAAATGACGATGTTAAATAGACGGGTCAAACTGCATGTCTCAAGTTTCACATCTTCAAAACTTACAATGATTGTGTTGGCGTCGCCGTCGTAAGTATTGGTATCGGTTGATTAGTGTTTGCAATTCGAAGCCCTAACGCTTCCTCGGTATTTTATCGAATCATGTAAAAGACAAATCGAAAAACCTTAAATACCTATAGCAAGGTCCGTAGAAGTAAACTATATGCTAACTAATTCACACATCACGGAGAATAACAATTGAATGCATCGAACGCAATACGTGATGCATTTTAAAGGATATTTCGGAATACAATGCAACTATTTGGGCGAAAGTTTACTCTGCATTTCGAATTTGTAAGG